GGAGTACCTTTAACATTCATTGGATTAGCAGTAAAGACAGTTTCAAAGTTTTCTGATCTACTCATTAAAGAAAAATAGTCTTGTTTTAATGAGTCCTAACATTATAATATTACAATACATGTTCTGTGTTATACATGTATAATATCTGTAACCACTGTCTGCTATGTGAGTTTGTGTTTGGCACCAGATAGTATGTGTGTTGTTGTGTTCACCTATTGTTCAGTTAAAGCAGAGTTTGAGAGTTTGTCTGTGCATGCTGCTCATTTATGCGTCTATGGAGAATGAGAGAGGGAGTGTATGTGAATGTGTGGTGGGTTTCATCAGATCTTTATACAGAGAAGCAGATGGCAGTGATTGTTTTGGCACACAATTAAAAAAAACAGCTCTGAGGACAGCAAAACTATCACATCGCCACACTGCTGGGATAAATGACTGTGCAGCGACTTGTACTCAGACAAACACACACTAAACTAGGTTCAGACAGAAACTATTAGTTAGACCTCCTCACTGTCAGGAGTAAGTGACATTATAATTACTAGCACTCAATGAAGGGGGAGGCCACAGAATTGACTTTTCATTTTCTTGATACCAGCCCTCATGTAACTAAAACTATAACATTAAAAACACATTTGAATGAACAGTCAAAAAAGACACGCTTAAAGTGTTGTTGAATGGAAAGGGAGTCCCCTTAGTGGAACATTAATATTTTTGCAATTATAATTAACTTTAAAAATATTGTTGAACAAAATGTAATATTACTGTTATCATAGACTAAAAGGTAGACTTTTTGCCTGCTGTATATTCTGGATGCTTCTGGGTAGAGAGCACCAATAATCTAAGTAATTGCAAATCTATTTCACTCATTTCAAACAACATGGAAGTAAATGCACCAAAACCATTTCTATTCTGTAAGTGTATCATCCAGAGAGCTGTACTGTATATCAGGAAAAATGCTATTAGTGAATTTTCTCAGGCATTTCCGTCTGCCCTACAGCATATTAAAACAACAACTTTTAATCTCTTTAAGTGACGTTTTAAAGAGAGCATCAACTCTGTTTGTCAAGATAGGGAAAGGGCTTCACATTGCATTGTCTTTGGGGTTTTAAAGCATTCAAACATTCAGACCTTTAGACTTTGTTCGCTCCCACACAGTTTATCCTGCAGT